GCATTCTTCAATCAGAACTTTGCCTCGATCCTCGTGCAAAGGACCCAGGCGATCGACTATCCTCACCTTAAAATGGGACAAGTCCGCACTGTCCCGGTGCTCCATCGGAGGTGCGGAATTCATGGGGATCGACGAAACAGGTGCATAACATCTTCTGCCTTGACTCTGGCGCGGGTCAGATTTAAGTGACCGACGGGTTGGAGGGTCGGATTCAAGTGACCCACGATTTGGAAGGTCGGATCCAAGTGACCTGCAAAGTGGAGGGTCGGATCCAAGTGACCCGCAAAGTGGGGGGTCGGATCCAAGTGACCTGCGATTTGAAAGGTCGGATCCAAGTGACCTGCAAAGTGGAAGGTCGGATCCAAGTGACCTGCGATTTGGAAGGTCGGATCCAAGTGACCTGCAAATTGGCGGGTCGGATTGGAGTGACCTGCAAATTGGCGGGTCGGATTGAAGTGACCTGCGCGCCGGCGGGTCGGATTCAAGTGACCCGCGATTCTCGATCTTTTCGGCTGCCGTTTTGGATTTTGGCCTCCAAGTTTGATGCAGTCTTGGTTGTTTCTTAGCTATGTCCTTCTTCTGCATCTTTTGTGCTTTTTGCACAAGAATTCGCGTGCGCGCAAGCGCGCAGCGCTTTTGAATTCGCTCCTCCAGAGTTGAACGAATCTTTTTTATTTGGCTCGATCTTTTCGGCTGCCGTTTTAGATTTTGGTCTCCAAGTTTGATGCAGTCTTGGTTGTTTCTTAGCTATGTCCTTCTTCTGCATCTTTTGTGCTTTTTGCACAAGAATTCGCGTGCGCGCAAGCGCGCAGCGCTTTTGAATTCGCTCCTCCAGAGTTGAACGGATCTTTTTGATTTGGATCCATTCATTTGCTATTGGTTTGGAGGGGAGGACATCTGTCCGCTGTTGGGGTGCTTGGCGTTGCCTATTTTTCAGATCCGCCTCGTAACGGATCCCGTCAATTGACTCCAATGCTTTAGCGAGTTGGCGCGCACAACGTTGGCGCTGCCTTTGACGAGTTCTCTTTGATAAAATAGGCGCGCCTTCTGTACTCAACTCCTTGATTGAGGAGGAGTTCAGATCTGCAGATCCGGACTCATTGGAGACCGGAAGGGCGTTGTAAGGTTCAGCTAGCGCAACAACGGGGGCGTTGATCTTCCTTCGCTTGCGAGAGGCGGAGGATTTGGAGGAGGAGGACGACAGATATTCCTCGAACTTCAGTTGGTCGAACTCGTACTCGACCACTTCTTCAACCGGGATGCAGATCCGAGGTTGCGACACGACAGCTCCGGAAGCGAACGTTGAAAGTTGCTATTTGCATTGCTATCGAATCTATTACAACTTTAGTCGTTACAATAAACTCGAATAAAATAAAAAGTTGATCTTTGTATAAGATCTCCTTACACAATGAAAATAAAACAAGTTTACAACTTTATTCAAAACAAACGCAGAGATTGTTTATCGGTCTTCTGCTTGCGTGGGATCTTTGCCTGTGCCGGGGTTTATCCGTGGACCGCCTTTGATCTGGATCCGGTTGATGAAAAATTCGGCAGAGCTTCGCCTTCGCTGAGGAAGTATTTGATTTGAAGCACTGAAATCGACCAACCGAAATCAGGGCTCTTCTCGAGATTAAGACCAAGCCTAATCTCAAGGGACGGACGGGAACGGGCGTCGGATCTCTCGAACTCTCCTTCTTTATGCCGAAGAACTCGCCAAGATCTGTCAACCCTCGCTGAAATTCGTGCTCCTTTGACTCCACAATCCGGCAGCACCTCCTCGTCTTGATAATCAATCGCCCCTGCTGAAAGGAGGCCCTATGCTTGTATTTATAGGGCTTCAGAAGCGGTTATTTGGATGAGAACAAGTGATTTGGCCTTATCTTTAGTCAATAACAGCCTAACCACGTTTGTAGATGATATCAAGTCAGTTTGGATGCTCAGGAACCAACAAATCTCGAGAAAAACCATCAAAAACCAAACCGGGTCGAAACAGCGCGCGCAGGACAAGTCTGACCCGCGCTTGCGCGGGTCGGATGGATCCGACCCGCGCGGGCGCGGGTCGGACTTGGCCGACCCGCGCGGGCGCGGGTCGACGCGGTCCGACCCGCGCGGACGCGGTGTTTCGAATTTTTGCTGAGCTCTGGTGTTTTCTGGTCTTTCCGGGACTTGTATTTTCTACTGTTTTGCGTAATTGATCGTCTTATTGACTTGTACGCTTCGTTGCGGAATTGACCGTCGAACGCGTGTTGATTGACACACACACGTGTTGATTGACGCACGCATGTTGATTGGCCCGTGCGGTCCACTTGGCGTTTTCCATTGTGGTGGTTCGTTGTCGTGTCATCAACAGTTTGCCGATTCGCTTTATGCGCTTGTCGGCGTTGGATAATCCTCTTTGATTCGGATAACGACGTTCATCACCTTCTCTTTGTCTTGAGCTGTGTGCGGGCACCCATAGGCATTTTTAGACGCCTACAATTACCTGATGTGTTTTTCGGATATTGGAATAATAATTCAGAGTAGGAATTAAAAGTTGGCAACCTAAAAATAAAAAATTGAAAAATAATTAAAAAAATAGATAAATTAAAATAACATACATATTGGATGGTGCTAGATTAATTGCATGATGTATTTATCGTAGATTGAAATAATAATTCAAAGTTCTTGAAAAAATGAGACGGGAAAACCGAAATGTAAATAAATTTTGATGGGAAAAGTGACCGAATAAATAAAATGTAATTTCAGAATAAATATATTTTTCAATTTTTTGAAATTTTCAAGAAAACCGAAATGTATATATATATTTCCCATATATTGAAAAGAAATACCTAAATGAGGGGATTTGATTTGATTTGGAATTTGAATTAATTACTAAAGATATTACCAAAGATATTTTAATTGATTATAAATTAATTTTTTCCATATATAAATATATTTATTTTAATAAGATTAAGATAAAATAACAATTTAAACTTTTTGGTTTGGTTTTAATGTATACCATAGTAAAAGATTATGCAACTTAACCTTCCTTTATAGCGAATAAGCAAAAATCCATAGCTCTTGCAATTTTAAGATTGCCAATTTAACCAAGAAGCATGTTGCTAAAGTCGCATCAGAAGCGGATGCTAAAAGATTACATGAAATGTTTAATGTAATACAACAATATAGACAAAAATTAGCTAATAGCACCATGGATCACCGCACAAAATTAGCTTACAACGCCTTCATCATCCTCAAAACTCAAGTTTAGAGTCTGCAACTTGAAGCCTGAACCCTGTATTACTTCGACCAAGTTAGAAGCCACTCCTGTTGCTTGCAAAGTTGTTTGTTTTGTTAACTGCACCATGGAGCATCCGTCATTAAATTTAAAGTGTTTACATGCATAAGTAACTAATGAAATGAAGGTACTCAAGGTGTGTCAGAATTTTCACATATTTAAGTACAGGCAACTCTTACAGGGTTACATCGCATAATCATATTAAAATTAGGATTACATAAGGCTTTATAAACAATCATTAGGTTTGTTATGTGTTTTCCTCGATCACTGTAACATTGTTTTCAAAATTATTAAAAAAAGAGGCATATTATTTCAGTGAAATAGCACAATATTTGCTTATCATATGATCTAATTAGAGCATATGGATACAGCATGAACACACCGCAAATAATATATTCCCTTATACACAAAAAATCAGAACAAGGCAGTACAAACATCAAGGTTCATGATAATAAATCGGACAATTGCAATTTCACATCAAGTCAACATTTCCAATTACATAAACCATGAAAACTAAACACCATATGGTTCGATCTCAACTGTCGACGTATTTGAATACCCACCTCACCAACAAAAATCTCTCTGTTTATTCCATATCCTTTTCAGGATAATATTTTACAGTAAATTAATATTATCACTCTATCCTTTCTTCAGGATTGTTTGCCAGAGGATTCCAATATAGCATTACCTCTCAGATGATTCCTAAAAGGCATAACTAAGAGCAATCAGTTGTTCTTTATGTAGCAAAAGGATGAGAATATTTTTTCGGACCTTGGACCTTATTAGATTCTCTACCGTAGTATACAAGTCAAAATTGAGAAGTTTCAATGTATCATTTATTTCTAAGCAATTTGCAATACGTTCATGAACATCAACTTAAGGAACTACTACTAAACCGACGTTCCAGCAAGAATGATCCATCTTATTTTAAGGCTATTTCTTGGTGGGAAAGTATCCTAGAAATCATTGCTTCTCAAGTGTATCAAATGCATAAAAATTCATCGAGACTGGAGAGCAAAGATAAGGTATATATATTTAACAGCCAAACATACGAACCATGTTTTTTCGCCTTCATCTTACTTGTCTAAAAATTAAAGAGAATTAAACTAAACATCTTCAAAGATAAGATCATAAGCCCATATGTCATATTTAGTTCTCATACTCTCAAATTTTATTCTCTCTTCATGGAGGTGAATCTGTAATCTAGTCAATACTTTAATTGTGATATTCAAAAGATAAGGTATAGCTATTTGACAGAGCAATAAAACAAGCTAGTGATAGATTGTTTTATTCAAAACGTAACTAATAAGGTATAGCTATTTGACAGAGCAATAAAACAAGCTAGTGATAGATTGTTTTATTCAAAACGTAACTCAATTCAAAATAAGCAAACATCCCATGATAAAACAAGCTAGTGATAGATTGTTTTATTCAAAACGTAACTCAATTCAAAATAAGCAAACATCCCATGCAACCCAATTTGCCAATACCAGGAAACCAAAATTTTACCTCCACGCTAGCAATGCCCTCGGCTACTTGCACCTTCAAATCACCAACTCCTTCAACTTCCTGTTACAAAAAAATAATAATAATAAAATAAAAAAATCCATAAAAACTAAAACAAAAAGATTCCACCCAAAAGACAATTTTTTCCATAGGAATTGCGAATCACCTCCAGAGCCTTGGACACCTTACTGATCCCCGATTCATCCAGCATTCCTTCAGCCTTCCCACAAAAAAAAAACAAAAAATACACACTAAAAGATTAAATGGAGTAAATTTACAAAACCGACCTGAATTTTAGAGTGATTTGCACAAAAGATCCGATGAACTTTCAAAAAGTTTCACTAACTGACACATACTTAAAACAAACTAGTTGTTACTGACGTGATGCAATGGAAACTACAAAGAAGCAACTACCAATATGTAAGGGGCTTTGCCCCTAGAAACTAGCTTAAAAATCAGATCATTATACTGAAACTACCTTTGAATGTTGATTTATACATAAACCATCTTTATAATGGGTTTGTGTCGCAATCAAACACCGCCCAGTCAAAATTTTCACTGAAAACCCATAATACCCTTGAAAACTCACATTCAAGACACTTGACTTAAATTTTGTAATGTTTCAGGTCTAGTTATACATCTCAAGTTCCTTGAGCATGAATTATTTAAAGATTAGTTTTTCTTCTTTTTTAGTGAATTTTTGGTTGAGAGGTGGTTGATTGCAATACAAACCCATTTGAAGGTGGTTTATGTATAAATTAACATTCATATGTGGTTTCTGTAGGAGTGCACAAAAATATTTCTATCTGAGAAAATATCTATATCTTTATATGTTAGGATGTGGATATAGTTACTAAAATCTATAACCAATAATGTATGGTAATGGATATGGTTAATTGGTTATGTAGTGAAATATCTGTATTTATGTCCGAAATATCCGAATATATGTTGGGCATATAGTTGCAACAATTTTGATCCTTAAATTAATGAATTTGGAATTAATGGATTTGACGCTAATTTTGATGACCAAGAGATCTAATATTAACTTTTCAGATATAATGAAACATATTAATGAACTCCCTTGTATCATATAAACTATATATTTTTTTTCAATATTATCTTGCTTTATCATATTTTGTTTGAATCTGCATCTATATCCTCTTATATATCCGCATGCATTTTCGTATCTGTATCCGATTTTAGCGCATATGGTTATGAATTTTCTTTATCAAGGCATATCTGTATCTGTATCCATATCCTATTTTAGCAAATATGTTTATGAATTTTCTTTACCGAGGCATATCCATATTTGTATCCATATCCAAGATTGGTAAGAGGCTACAAATATGGTAAGTATCATATGCGAGTCATATCCAAACCATGTGCACCCCTAGGTTTCAGTATAACACCCTATTTTTAAGGTGGTTTCTAGGGAAAACCCCCGTATTTAACTATTTCTAAGATAAATCATTTAAGTAACAAATGAATTATCTACGGATAATAGCATGAAACCCAGAAGAGATTTTGTGCAAATCTAACAAAACTTCAAGGGGTTTAGTGAAATTACCTAGCCAAAAAAAAAAAAAAAACTGAGGAAGAATGGAAAAAGGCAGCACCTTGAAGAACATGGTAAGCATGTCAGAAGGAGAAACGGCGACTGAAACGGCCTCCGTATCTTCAGCCACAGCCGCCGCCGGAGCTAGGGTTTCTTCCTCGGCCACGGCTTTGATGATGGCCATTTTGCTCCTCGAGGGGGCGATTCTCTTGAGACGAAGAGAAGTAGGTGAAGAGAAAGAGAGAGAAGGAGATGGAGCAGGGGATTGTGCGAGAGTGCGATGGCAGAGGAGAGAAGAGGGGAACGAGGCGATTGCCGCCATTGCTGGAGCTTGGTGTTGGCTCCTGAGACGAGAAAGGATGGGGCTCTGCTTTTATTTTTTCTTTCTAGTCAGTTCGCTGGATTTGCTTTGCTCGCTGTTGGATTTTGTAGATAACGCGGTGAGAGTTTTGTAAATTTTGATTTGCACTTTTGGCACAGGAGATTATTTACATTATCACCCCATTTCAACAATTTTTTCCTATGATATTAGCACTTAAATTCCTTATAGTTTCTCATATTTTGCACTTCCATACTCTCACTTGTTTTTTACAGCACTTATAAGAATTTTCCTCGGGGTGCTCACGGGCTACTTTTAGAAGTTTTAAGCCATTAATTGTTGGTGTTACTACTAAAATCACCATAATTTTATTTTAAAATATAATTAAGATATGTTTAATAATAAAATAAAAAAAATCCGAGTGTGCTCAACAGAAAATTCAAAAACAGTAAGGGCTAAAAAGTTATAAAATTAGCTCGTGGGGATCAAATGGTAAAGAAGTTATAAAAACTTGCTTGTGTGGGTCACATGGAAAATTCAATATTAATATCAGCATGACGCCTCTTTATAAGTTATATTCTCAGTTCTATTGCCAGATTTGATCCCCGAATAGATAGATAAACAATGCAATTGCATTGTACTGTAATATTACCATACATGAGCGCAGAGAGAAATTCACAAGCTTTTCCTAGCAACAATTGGACTGGCGAGTAATTCCTGCTACACTACAATCATGAGTTAATAGCAAGGAATATGCGGCAAGTTTCCCTTTAGTTTTTAGACCAACTCCTCAATGACACAAGCAATTCTTTTAGGAAACAAAACCATTTGGATCACTCTCAAAAAATATCTCCACAAATTCGCTCGAGGTGGAAGACATGATAAATTTTCCAGATATCCGCTTTACAAAAGATCTGCTGGTATCCGATATGTCTGAACTCTCTTTCAGCATTGTTGGTATGCGGCAATCTTAAAAATAGTTTCAGTTTATGTATTCACAGCAAAACGCACCGAACTGGATAGTCACTTTCTTTCGTATCAGTAGAACTCAGCTGACTCCTCGTACACTTCCCCAGCTGCGATGAAACCAACCAATCAGCATCAAAATACAATTAACAAGGAGATGCAACTGATAATAACCGTTTTTGCAACTGATAATAGCGGTTTTTGTTCCCTACCTTGAAGATTAATAGCTAAATTAGCTTCATTGTCAGCGCCGGAATTAAACTCCTACAGCAGCAACAAGAAATGATAAACACACAAAAAAGAGGGACATGAGTCGGGGTTTACCAATGCAACAGTAGAAATAAATGCCAATGTTTTGACTTGAGACTATGTCTTTCTATTTCAGTAATGATAACTGTACTACTAATTTTATACTACTTTTGTACATCCTCAAACAAAAGAAGGAAATCCATGGTGACTCTCCAATTTTTTGTGACAATTTCCAATGAAGAACCCCGCACATTTTTTAGTGGTAGTCTACAAGTAATATAGAATTTGTAGTATGCTTAACATTACCCTTTCTATTTTTTCTTTTAAGCAGGTTATGTGCGTAGTAATGCAAGGGTACAAACTAATGGTTGCTGATGTTTTATCTTTTGCAAAACAAGTGCAGGTTGAAGCCCTTATCTACTCACCATTCTACTTAAGATATGCTTGCCATTTTAATTGTTTGTTATTCTATCAGGTTAATATTGATCTCTCTCAATATATATTCAGCAAGGAGTCTTAACTTTAAAAAAAGTTATAAAGGACAGGAGGACCCTGAAGTCCATCTTCTTTGTAATAAACAGAGTTCTCTCCTTTCTGAGAGTTCTAAGCACATAATAGAAACTTAGACCAATCATTGTATTTGGGCCAGTCATTGGTGAACGCCAGCAGCATATTTGGATGTAGATGCATTTTAGTTAACCAGCCTTAATTGAACCATTGAAGAACATTAAGAAGGAAAGAATGTGCAATCAAATTGAATAATTCAAGAAACACAGTCAGTTATAGCCTAAAGGTGATTTACATAATGAAAACATTTCAACTTTACCCTCAAAACATGGGAGATTTTGAATGACATGAACATTTGCTTTAGCCGCTTGACCTCTTTACACAAGTCAGCCATATTCTGGTTCTTGGTTTGCCACAAATCTTGCACCTGTTTTCAGGAAGCATTAAGTACATGAGACAGATGATGTGATGTCAGAACAGAAAACTATATACGAGGGAAATTCTATAAAGAATAATTACAATCTGGTAATTATCACAAAAGTTTAGAGATAAATTGGTGGTGACGCCTCTCACATGCTCCATAAACAGGGGAAAGGAAACTTCAGAGAAAAAACAAATGTAGCAGAAACTTGCAGATGGCAGTGAAAATACTGCAGTTTAAAACTTTACGAGCTTTTAAACATGAAAGCAGTAAAGTAATGCCCCAAAAAAAGAAGAAGAAGAAGAAGAAGTTTCTCAACTATAAAACTTAAAAGTCTCAAAGAAGCCACAAGAATAAATATCAAATAATATCATGCTGAAACTGGGTAATCAATTGTTTTCATGAAGTTATACCATATCACACTGCCAAATTAGGAAGAGAAGAAAATAGATGCAGTGAATACAAAACACTACAGAGACTAGTGTCTCTGACAAATAGAGAAAGGCCACAAACCTGCATACAAATGAGTTTCGAGTCACCTTGCACTTGAATTTGCTTAAAACCTTTCTTAAGAGCATGTTTCATTCCTAAAATCAAGCCACGGTACTCAGCAACGTTATTGGTTGCAATCCCCAAGCCTTCACCAACACGAGCAACCTTCATTCAAATTTCAAGCTCAGAAGATGGACAACTGGAGAAAAGTTTAAGCTTAATGAAGATGTAGGCAAATGGAGAATTGAAGATTCGCCCAATTAAATAAATGAAAATTGAGAAGAAAGGAAAACAATAGGGTGCTAAAGCGTACCACGCTTCCATCTGAAGTCTTGAGTATGGCTCCTGCACCAGCTTTTCCAGGATTTCCTTTTGAAGCACCATCAAATTCAAGAATACAAGTCATCTGTATTTAGTTAAAAACTTAGCCAACTACAAGACACGGAAATATCAACAAGAAAAGTTCAAGAATACAACTTTTCCTGCACAGCATGCTTTTGTAATAAGATAATTAAGAAAAGAATCACCTTCGTTCCTCAAGCCATGCCCCATACCAAATGACAAGATCCAGAATAGGTCAACTAATTTAAAAGAAAAAAAGTACAGACAGATACTAATCATAATATATATTAAAAGAGCTCACGCTTGACTACATATGCATTACGGTAGCACCACATACATACAGTTATCATGCATAGTGATAAGAAATTAAGCAAATAGAATGAATAACCTGACGGGAAATTTTTTAAAACAGACTGTTTTTGCTAAATAATTAGCAAAATCGACAATTTTGCTAATTATTTAGCAAAATTGACTTCTTTTGGCCAACAGACCAAAAAGAGGTCGATTTTAAAAAACGCCCAACTCAGAACATACGGGACTACTAATCCCGTATGTTTTGGATGAACTAATCAGCGATTAGTGCTCACAAAAAACATACGGGACTACTAGTCTATGTTTTGGGCAGTGTTTTCAATGCGCGAGGCGCAATGCGGGGTGCAAAGTCAGTTTACGCGCATATGCGCAAGGCGCAATGCGATGCGCGCGCCCGAGCGAAGCGAGGCGCACTCCAGATCACAAAATTTGATAGATATCAATGTTGCTCTAGCTTGTTGTTAGATGCATGAAAAAAATAAAAATTTTAAATTTCACATAGAAAATGTAACCTCAGACTTGAGATAAATAAAATACACACTACCAGATCACAAGAAAAGTTTTAATCATTAAAGCAAATCAAGTTGTCCATCAAAACAAAAAAAAAAACAAAGCAGCTAGAATACTTAAGGAGTTCACTAGCATCAAATCAAAGCAAAGCAAGCAATCTAATTCTAATTAAATAAAGCAAATAAGTAGCAAAATAATAGCCTAATGATTCTAATCATCCTCATCAACATCATCATCATCCCCTTCTACGGGTATATCCTCCTCTTCAATCTCCTCCTCTGCATCATTAAACTCCTCTTCATCTTCTGACTCAGAAACCGGCTCCCTCCTCCTCAACGAAGAACCAATACCACTCGAAGTTGAAGATCCTCGAAACCTACTAGTCGATCTTAAATACATAGCATCATCTTCTTCAACTCCCATCGCATCTCTTATGACACCATATGTAAGGTTGTCCTCGCCCTCCACCAAGTCATTCTCTGCATTTTCACCTTCACCGAACTGCCCTAACAACCACTCATTGCTTTCATCTATATCAGCCAACTTAATCGGATCAATAGAATCTCTGCAGTCATATCTCTCCTTCAAAGCTTGGTTGTACTTGCAGTAAACTAGATCTTGTAGCCTCTTATGATCCAATTTATTCCCCTTCTTGGTGTGTATCTGTAATTTATACAAATCAATCAAATCAATATCCAAATCTCTAAGGGAATTAAATCTATTTTGTTCAATAAAATAAAACTAATCATACTTGCTCAAAAGTACTCCAATTTCTTTCACAGCCAGAGGAGCTACAAGTAAGGCTGATGACTCTAACAACAAGCTTCTGCAACTCTGGTGCTGATGCACCATAAGACTCCCACCAATCAGCTATCAATTTAAATAGACTGTGATTAGTAGTGTATTTTGCTTAAAAATCTAGTCAATTGAGAGTTTATATTATGCATATTTACCTGGAGATTTCTTCTTTCTATTTCTCTTAGCTATCTCCATACCAAAAAGACCCCCAGCATGTTTGTCTATATCTAACTGCCTATCAACCTTATATTGATCTTGTGTGGGCACCATCTTCTCAATGACTTGATAAAGACCTTTCATAACTTCGTCATCCCCTTGGATGTTTGGATGGTCATAGAAAAATGCAGGATTAAGGTAATATCCTGCAGCATGCAAAGACCGATGAAGATGATCCTACCACCTCTTATCAATGATATCAAATACCTCAGAATATTTTGAAAGATCATCACCAAAGGCTTTAGCAATAGTCTCCTTAGATCTATCCATCGCCTCATAAATGTATCCCATAGCAGGCTTCTTGTCACCATCAACAAGTTTCAGAACACCAACAAGAGGAGTCGTCAGCTTGAGAATACGAACAATGTTGTTCCAGAAAGATGGCATATGAACCATCCTTTCAGCTGATTTGCCCTTTGAATCTCTTGCCCACTTACTCTGCCTCAATGTCTCCAAATTAAACATCTTTCTGAGGTTATTTTTCTGTCGATGGATGCTTGACAAAGTCATAAATGATGTGGCAAATCGTGTCACCGCCGGTCTAAGAAGCTCTCTGCCGTTAGTTTGACCTCTCATCAGCTTCAAAACCCAAGCATGTGAGTAGATGAATCCAGTCAACTCCATAGCTCGACTCAAGGTTAGCTTCACAGATGGTAGTTTACCAATATCCTTGAGCATGAGATTGATACAATGAGCAGCACAAGGTGTCCAATATAAATGAGGATACTCTTTTTCCAATTCCGCTCCTATAAATAAAAGAACAAAAAAGATCAATATCATAGCATCCTAACATAACATTAGCAAAAGATTCATAACCAAAATAAAATTAATTGCTTAAAATTTACCTGCATATTTGAGACTAGAATGATTATCCGTGACGATCTGAACAACATTCTGAGGTCCTATAAGCTTAATCTGCTCACTAAGTATCTCAAACATTCTGTCACCCGTCTTGATCTCATCAGAGGCATCAATAGAGGAAAGAAACACCGTACCACGAGGAGAGTTCACAAGAAAGTTGATCAATGTCCTCCCCTTCCTATCACTCCAACCATCTGACATGAAAGAACCAGGGTTTTAAATGTCGGTTATCAAGGATTTATCGGACGGTCAAAATCCTTATCGGATAGCGGAAATCGGGGATATATCAGGGATAAGTAGTAATTATCGGAGTAATATACTAGCAAATAATAAACAAACATAAGCTTGAAAAAAATATAATGTTAGTCAAAATGGAATAATAAACAAACATAAGCTTGAAAAAAATATAATGTTAGTCAAAATGGAATAATAAACAAGCAAATAATAAGATAACATCAAGAATGAAGAACCATCTACGCATCTACATAATTATTGTTTAATCATGAGATTCATAAACTAACTTGCTACGTTCATATTTAGTAGTTATGAGCCATTATCAATATCCATAAACAAACATAAGCTAATCACCAATCAACCAAGTTCCAAAAGCAACAAATAGTTCATATATTTGTAAACATTCAAAGAGCAAATACAAAAGAAAGTAAAACCTCCCAAATCCTACTTATCGGCTGATAAAGCCGATATTTAGAGCCTACTTATCGGCCGATAAGTGCCTTTATCGCCAATAACTCGCCGATAAACCACAAAAAACAATAACCGATTAAAAATCCTACTTATCCTAGCGGAAAGCTCCCAAATCCGATAACTCGACGATAATATCGGATTATCGGCCGATATTTAAAACCATGGAAAGAACAACCTTTGGTAGCCCACACCTCCTTATGAGGCTGTATCAGATCATCGGTGTATTTTTTCTTCTTCTTAAGCAAAGGCTCTCTCAAGTGGTGTAATGTCGGAGGAGGCAAGTTAGGCCCAATTGCCCCCACGGACTTTAACATGATTTTGAAAGATCTAAGACGAGCGGCATTAAAGGGAATGCCGGCTTGATACCACCACCGAGCTATGTCTTGATACACTTTAGCCACTGCATCTTTGTTGAGGCTTTCTTCAATACATGTTTGCCTCAAATTGCGCCTTCTTTCATCCTTGGCGACTTCTAGAGCGGGATCAAATGTAAGAAATGCATCCATCGGCCCCTTCCTCTTTGTGCCTGTGGAAGATCCCACACTAAGCAAGGGAACACTCCCCCTTCCTCTTGTCGTTACCGAAGATGACCTAGGATTAGGAATTGCCGGGCCTTTTCCTCTATCTCTACGTTCATGTACTTGTTCATCTTCAAGCTCATCATCATCGATCTCCACCATGTTCTCATCTCCAAGATCGGGGAGATAATCATCTATAGCTTATTGTCTCTTAGCTATCTTTTGTCTTTCTTCATAATCTTTTAGCTCTTCAACCACATCGGGAGGGACTTTTTGACAAAGAGAGTGGAATACGAGTAGCAAAGAAAGTGCCAACTCGTATCATCACCCAAGAGGAGGCTTTAATGCTAGGACCTAGCACGTTAAGTCTGAGAAATGCTAATGACTGGTAGATGGGAATGTTGGTGGGTCCATTGTCGTTTGATTTGATCAGTGGAGGGTTTGGTGAGGAAAGATTAACCTATCAGAGGATTGGATCTCATCTCACAAAAACGACTCATAAGAGTTTCTTTCTTCATAATCTTTTAGCTCTTCAACCACATCGGGAGGGACTTTTTGACAAAGACTCACATTTTTGTGTTTCCTATCCGTCCCGATTAGATGCTCTTTTTGCCAGGATATGCCGCCATTTGTGATATTGTTACAAAATATGCACTTATGTTTATTGGCATTCCCTTCATCAACTAATGAAGTATATTTCCATGTAGGATCTTGTCTTCTTCCACCACCCGCCGATGAAGACATATCTACACCAAAACACATATGCATTATGCAACAAATTTCATATATTTACAAATAATATAATATATAGATTTAATGAATTAAAATATTAAACTTGTATGTTAATTTTTATTTAATCATGCAAATTATCCAAAGTTTCATACTTTCAGAGGATTGGATCTCATCTCACAAAAACGACTCATAAGAGTTAGAGAATAAGAAGAGACATTCTGACCTTTAGAGTTCGAATGTGAATTTCTTGTTCGCCAATTCCACAATGATTGGGTTATCCCTAAGAATACCCATGTGGTATTCTTTCGGGAACTTCCCGAAGTTTCATACTTTCATACTAGTATATTGCATCACTAAGACACTAACAACTATATTGCTAAATTTTATTTCTCTTCTTTACAGGTTGCATATGGCAAATCAAGTTTCAGCTGAAATCAGAAGAATCAAAATACAATTTAGATTCAGCTCAAGGTGGACTATGACTGTATGACATACTAAAGTAGTACGCGAGATCGTAAAGTGCCAAAAAACAGGACACGCCATGTCCTCAAAACATATATTATTGATTTTGCCAAAACATATTTATGGGGTTTGTAACATTATTAAGAAATGTAAAGTGTAAACAATAATATATTGAACAAACTTCATTTATGTAATATGATAAATTTGGCAATTGGCACTAATCTTGTGTTATCTTATCTTAGCAAAAAGAATGTGACAGTAGCCTTTTCGACAGCCTTGCATGAGTGCAACCAGAAATCACATCACCCAAAATCTTTTTACTATGTCATACAGTCATAGACTCATAGCTTTAATTGATCAAATCTCAATCATCCAAGAGATAGAGCCTAAGTCCATGGATTATTACAAATTTACAACACAAGTTATTCAAACTAAGCTACTGAAGCAGTAAAAAAGAAAAACAAAATAAAGCAGTTCATCATACTGTCATAGTTTATAATATCATAAGAATAGAGCAAAAATTAAATTAAGAACAGAATGAAACTAGAAAACAAAATTAATTTAAGAACAGAGCAACAATAACATCATTTTAACACTAAAATTTAACATTACATTAAGAACAGAACAGTAACAACATGAAAACTGGAGGAGCGACGGATGAAAACAAAAAGAAAAGAAAAGAAGGGTTCAAAAACAAATGAAACTGGAAAACAAAAGAAAATAGAAAGAAATCGAGAAATAAAAAAACTGGAAAAAAAAGAAGTACATGTTCGCCGTCACCGCTGGCTGCGTCGCCGTCTGTGTGCTGGCTGTCGCCCGTCGCCGTGGCCCGTCACCGTCGCGCTGCTGAGTGGAGATCGTAGCTTCTTTCTTGCTTTCGCGGAGAAAATAGTTGAAGAAGGAGCGACAAATTGTGGAATCCCTAGCCGTCAGCCGCTTAAAATTGCTTTCGGGTTCAAGCCACAGTCGGGTATGTACCCAATACCCAATTGAACCTTACCTGTTAGTGAGGCGATCGCCTGCGGCGCGTGTCGGGCGTTGCGGGGCGCACCTCAGGCGTGCGCTCGACGAAATGCAGCGCTCCACAGCAGCTGCGTGCCAATTCTTCCAGTGCGCCGAAGGGCCTCGCGCCCGAGGCGCGCGCCTCAGTGCGGACTAGTAGTCCCGTGGGTTTGCTGGGCAGAACAAATGAGTGCCCGACAATTCTACGGGACTATACATAAAGCCCAGTTGTGCCCCAAATTAGGGCACAACCGTTCATTCTCTCACTCACTCACTCTCTCCTGATCTCCCTCTCTCCCAAACCTAAACTCAACCTCTCCCAAACCCATCTCCCTCCCAAACCCGATCTCCACCTCTCCCAAACCCGACCTAACAATCCCGATCTCCATCTCTCCCAAAACCAACTCAACAATCCCGATCTCCCTCTCTCCCTCTCCCAAACCCAATCTCTCTCTCTCCCAAACCCAACTCACCTCTTCCTCCCTCAAATCCGACGCCGACGCCATCTATTCTATCCGATGCCGACGCCGTCTATTTACTCTGACACCAACGAGATCCGAAAGTTCATCAAGGTATAAATTTCTTATTTTTTTCATAAATTTCTCGATATTGTTTAGTTAATATTGTATATCTAGAGAAAATATTTTAATTATAATTATCAATATGGAAAAGAAATCTAATTTGTATATGATGAATTTTAATCTTCAGTTAAAATGGCGAATGAAATACCGATTATTTACTTATTCAATGGAACTGAGTGTTGGAATGAATAATATGCCTATATATGATGGAGGCTCTAGAAAAATGTTCATGTTATCTAGAAATTATAATTTCGATAGAATGATGGAGCAAGTATACAGAGTTACTGGAATTAATCATGCCGAAAATGTCATTAAGATCTTCTGTAATTGTCCAATAAATAAAAATAGAACAATTGCTGTAGAGATCACCAATGATGAAGAATTAATGACATAATCAGACTTGCGAAAAAATAAATCTCAATCGAGTTGTTCATTGAAAATATTTCAATGTCTGGGGTTGCCGAAGTTTCATATGCTTGTGGAGAGTTCTCCCGCATGCTTAAAAATCAAATCTCGTTATCTCAATGTGCCTTGCACTTAAAAAATGACTCAGGTGCAATGTCAAGTGATATGTCACGCCCCCAAAATGCGCAGCTAATTTTGAGATGCATGACAGCGGCAACACGGGCATAAAGCACATGCTAAGCCTGCGGTGCACTTCCACATTACAATAAACTTCATTTTACAAGAAGCTTATTTGACAAATAAAGAAGTCTCAGAGCAAAACTATATTATAACAAGTTCACTCTAATGAGTCAGAAGACTCTTATTACATATGCATCATAGCATGACTAGCGTGACTATAGCTTCAACACCAAATACTCTAAAACATTCTTCTCATGTTCCAAAGCTTCGAGGCTTTGATAAAGCTATCTAATTTTCATCTGAAAAAGATTGAAAAACAACGGGGTGAGTTTACACTCAGTGAGTAGAAAGCTTATCATTAGCGGATCAGTCAAGTTTGAGAATTTATTAATACTAAAATTTAAGTAAGCTATTGTAAAAAGAACAATTGAGAAATGCATAATATTTCAAATGAGAAAGTTTCTAAGAATAGCAAGGAATATTCATAATTTAAGAAATAATACGAATGAATACTAAATACTTTTAAAATTGTAGATATCAAGCTAAATCCACAATTACAAAATTTCCTCAGTTGTCACACTAAGGCTACGAAAATTATACCCCAGTAGC